GCAGCGAAATTCCGCAAGAGTAGTGTGGCTGCGTAAAGTACAGTGCAAACGTGGACGCTTGTGAGACTAAAGGGGCGCTCTAAGTTGTTAGGCTATATATATTATTGGTGAGTTAGTAACTGCCCTGGCAGAGTTTACCCATTGTGCTGAGCTCGTCTGGTAAGTGCCTTGCAGGTGTCCAGGCTGAGCTCAATCAAGTGACCTCCATCCCACTCCACCTGTCCTCCTCCTGCTTGAATAGTGTCACAACCACCATTGGCCAGACTTTTCCCCAGGACTTGTCCTCTTCACCCCTCATACCTAATTGACACAAAGTCCAGAGACCCTTCCTGGGAAATGTCTTCCCAGCCTACCCTCCTGCTCCCAGTTGTGTCCTTCCCTGCTTCTCCTCTGCCTCAGGCCTCATCCTCTCTGACGTAAACTCCACCCAAGCCACCACCTATCTTTCTAGAACCCTCAACAGATGATCTCATAACCAAAACCTTCTAAGGACTCATTGAATACTTCACAACCTCTGCACAGCCCACCCATTTCCCCCACTCTGCTACTCCCAAATGCTCTAGTGTTTGCCCCCAAACATTGCACTGTAGCAGGTTTTTGCTCTTGGTTTTCTTTTCTTTTTCGCTTTCTTTCATATTCTTTTTTTTTTTTTTTAACCAAGGAAGAGTATGAAAACAGTCCCCCACTAGCACAAATTACACAGTTGAGTTTCCCACATTTGGGGAAATTGCAGGGGTCAGCACAGCCAGAGTGCAATGAATAAATCTAGCCATAGGAAAACCACCTATGCTACCTCCCCTGCCAGCTACATATTCTTGGTTTTCTGGAGGCTTGCCTTTTGCCTTCCCTTAGAAAAGGGAGATCACACATGCATTTCAAGTATGCACTTTGACTTCTGTCAAATTCAACTGCTTTCATACATGAAACTTCTCTTTTGCTGGCCAACAGTCGGCCCTCACCTGTCTGATGGCAACTGCCATGCTGATTCTAGAAGCTGGTGAACTGGTATCTCCAAGTATAAGTTCCTTAAGGTACATCTATATCCCCTTGCTCAGAAATGCCAAGGCGGCTCGGTGCCTGTGACTCAAGTGGCTAAGGCGCCAGCCACATACACCTAAGGTGGCGGGTTCAAATCCAGCCTGGGCCTGCCAAACAACAATGATGGCTGCA